CCCCCGCTTGATTTTTGCCGCCCTTGCTTACGTTCCGCTGTAGTGGTGGCGGTGGGAGTGGTGGGGGACCATTGAGGGGGGTTGGGGGAAGGCAGCGAGGGGCAGGGGATTTGAGGTCAGTCCCACCTGGGCTCAATCTTGGTTCTGCCATTTAGGCTTCTTGCGGCACCACCTGGACCTCACTTTTCTCACGTATGAAATGGAGTAGGTAGTTGCCTTCCAGGAGCTAGAATTCAATGACAGGTTACAGAGGACTTAGCATGGTGCCTAAAACCAGTGAAGTATTTCATCATGAAATAACAATACTCAATAAATGAAAATAAAATGACTTCATCTTAAAAAACAAACAAACCCGAGAGCAAGCAGCTTCTCAAACCACCAGGCAGAACGTCTAGGCTGCCTTTGGTTTTGGGGTTTCCTTGCGCTTCTGTTCTATTTTCCTGCTTTTTGCCATATGGACTGAGCTTTAGCCATTCTTTTTTTCTCTGATTATTTGAAAACTATGTAGCCTAATTTATCCTGCCGATGTGTGTACAAATCTATATATGTGTGTAAAAATATATATAATGTTTACTTAGAAACATATTCTTGAAAACTGAAAAACTACAAGAAAGCAAAAAAAAAGGACAATGTCCTTATTCCCGCATAGAATTAACAGTTAACGTGCTGTTTGCTTCTACACTTTAAAGAAAAATCATCGATTTTATAAAAACTAACTTATATAGAGAATTAAAACAATGCAGAAAAGTATTAACAAAATTACAGTTCTTTAAAAATCCCACCACCTGGAAACTACCGGCATTCACATCATTCCAGGGATCCCGACGTGCACGCGTGCGGGAAGACCAAATGGAAGATTGGGGAGACAGAGGCACAGGTTTAGATCGACTCTTATTAAGTGGGATTATATTACAGATGCTACTTCTGATTTTAAAAGCTTCCATTGTCGTTTTATATGAATTTTTTTAAAAAATGAAATGGACTTCTTGAACTCCAAGTAGATATTTCTTTACCACAAGAGACCTCTTTCTCAAAGAAGGCTCCAAGCAACGTCAAGGCTACGAGAAAACACTCTTAGAGGATGTCTGTTGTCTCTGATTTGAAGGGCAAATGTTCCACCCCCTGTCCCCTTTTCCTTTATGTTGTCCAGATCATTGCTGTTGCCATAATCCCCAGTCGTTTGGAGGCTGGTGTTATTATTAATTTTTTTTTAATAATTAGTTGTTGTTCTGATGCTGCTTTTCTCTTGGCTTACGGTTCCATGTGTGCAGACTTGTCTACCCAGTGAGATGGAGATGGTGTCTTCTCACACATCTTTGCAATCTCCCCCCAGGGCCAAGATCAGTGCTGCACAATTGTAGATACTGAACAAGGCTTCTTGGATTGATTTCATTTTCCTAATTAATGACTTTCTACATTTTCCAAATTTCCCTAGTTAATGACCCCATCAAACACAGAATCCAAGCCTTCCAGGCCTTTTCCCGCTACTGGAGGATCCTGATTATTGATTTCCAGGCTAGCATTTACCCTTGGATTCTTCATTGCTTTTAGGAATAACACTTGCCTATGCCCACGATTCCATTCAGGAATTCAGTACTGCTTTGTTGTTCCTTTAAGGGATTAACATCAAGCATGAACTGACGTTCTGTCCTTGGTATTGTGCAATGCCGGTGGATGCACACTGGTCTAATGTAACCAGTAACTTCAATATGTGCTTTCTACTCACAGTTTCCCATCGCCGTTGGCACTGGCACCTTCAACGGCCCCTACGAGCCTGCAGGAGGACAAGTAAGGCTTTTAACTCGTTTTGCTTCCGTTTACATCCCCCCTCTAGCAAATGCTACCCCGAAAGGGCGAGGGCAAGGCTTCATCTCCTTGGGGTGTGTGGAGACTGTGGAATCTTGAGATTCCTCAATTTCAAGGAAAGTAGTGATTGTGTTTCAACTTCCACTCAGACAGTTTCACCTCGGGATTTCGATGGCACCAGGCCATTGTTTTCAAAAGTATGGTATGTAGAATGTTGTGACAAGCTTTCTAAAAATCTGGATTGCAGCTATCGGACATGAACATTCCATCTTCTTCTGGCAAAGTTGTATTTTTTTTTAAATGACAAATTTCAGTTCTATTGTTTCAACATTCAAATATTATTGAATGTCTAATTTTTAGGAAAATGATGCGGATGAACTTTGTAAACTGTTCTTTCATAGAGAGCTTCTTCCCAATTAGCAGCACTTGGGGGATAAACATATGTACTAGTATTTAGATAGTCTCTCTGATCTTTGCGAGGGTTTAGAGACTTTAATGTTACTCAAAGGTGAGTCGGTGTGTCAAACTCTATATCAACAAATATAAAGCTGCTTTAAAATAAGATGAAACTCTTTATAGGAAAGCTTTGATGCATAAAATTACAGCATTAAAAAATGTAATTTTAGTTTTACATTAAGAAGAGTTTACTTTAATGTGTATTACATTTTTTTCGTTCTCTCTCTCTCTCTCTCTCTCTCTCTCTCTTTCTCTCTCTCTCTCTCTCCCTAGTGTCTAAGTTGTGTGGGGGCTGGTTCATTGTCTCTTGTTGAGCCTCTATTCCTAGTACTTATTATTTCTTAAACAATAAATGATGAAGACTAGAAAAATGCTATGTATTACAGCCAACATACAACTTATAAATGCATTGTGTTTCATTTTGTTTTTATTCAATTTATTGGGGTGACTGGTTCCAACATGGACATACAGGTTTCAGGTGTGGGGTTCTACATTACAAGATCTGTATATTGCACCGTGTGCCCACCACCCAAAGTCAAATCTTCTCCTATCACCATATATTAGGACCCCTTGCTCCCCCAAATCCCTTCCCTCTGGTCATCACCACACTGCTGTTTGCGTTTCATTTTTTGGTCCCACATATGAGTGAAATCATATGGCTCTTAACTTTTTCTGACTTACTTCACCTAGCGTCATGTTCTCGGGGTCCATCCACGCTGCTGCAAATGGCGCTACTTCTTCCTTTCCTACGGCTGAGTAGTATTCCATTGTGTACATGCACCACATCTTCTCTATCCAGTGCCTTCAAGCTGCTCACATGGGAACACTACCCTTCCTTGGTTTCCAACTGTGGGGTAGATTCCTTTTCCATAATTATATCCTTTTGGCACTTCCACTGGAGGTGGGATGCGAGGTATTGTTACACCTCGAGGTTCTAATTTTTCATTTCAATCCAGAAATCTGTCCCATGATGCCCATTCTGGAATTCAGGTTGAAGTGTTCTGGAAAAACAGGTCATTAGCCAGTCTAGTATCTGTGCTTCTGTCCACAGCCCGACTCCCAATGCAAATGGTGTATGTATTGTAGGGGTACAGGTGAGCAATAGTGGCAAGGTGCCTGCAACAGCTTTTCTTTGTCTCCCCAGAGAGCCCGGCGGGCTGTGCTGCCCCAGGAACAGGAAGGATCGGGGGCTGGGCAACCGGTAACTGGTTCAATAAAGAAAGAAGGTAATGATCAGGCACCCTTTCACCCTCTTCTGTCAGACTCCAGGAAGGAAGGGCCATGGCTGACTCACCCTGGCTGCCTTCATGACTATAAAATCTCTTCTTTTCCGACTACAGTCCAAGGTTAGGCCTAGGAGAGGCAAAGCAAGTCCTCTGCCCTGTGCAGGGGGTGTGAGGGGAGTGAGGAGACGAAGCATGGTCTCAGCTCCATGGTAAGAAGCCAGTTCTTGCCCCGTCTCACGGTGTGGCCTCCCAGCCGTGGTTTCCTCATCTGTACGACAGCATACCCACCTGCGGAGCTGGCCACCGGGCTGGGAGCAAGGTGGGGAAGGAGGGAAGGAGGCTTCGTGTAGTTGACAGTACTTACCAACAGCTCACTCTGCAAACACAGAACCTGCTCCACCCCAGACTGTGTGCTGGGCACGGGAGTCACAGAGACACAGCATCCATGACTTTTTGGAACTTTGGTCAAGTGGGGGAGGTGGCCAGGGAAGAAAGTGATGGACCCAAAAGGGAGGGCCAGCTAAGAGGCTGGAGTAGTTTAGCGGAAGCAGGGGTGCGGAGATCAAGGACTTCGTGGATGAAGGGGAATGAATGTTGTATCCAGGTATCCAGGTAGGGTTTTGCTCCATAAAGGCATGGGGGTGGGGCTCAGTGAAGAGGTCAGGCTGTCTGGCCCGGGTGCTGGTGAGTGTGTTATCAACTGCTACTATTACAGAGGCTTTGGGCAGACAGGGCCAACATGGGATGGTGGGTCTGTGGGTCGCTGGTAACTCCCCGTGTTCTGGAGTGAAATGAGCATTGATTTTGGAGTCCACAGACATGATTTTGAACCTCAGCTCTGTGTGACCCTGGGCAAGTCACTTTACCTCTCAGCGTCAGTGCCGTCGATAAAATTAGTTGGTAATCCTTCCTCGTGGTGCAGAGGTGAAGACTAATTGAGAGGACGCCTGGGAAGTGTCCAGCCTGCTGGCAGCTACACCAGTACTCAGTAGGTGCTGCTGTTCCGTCCTTCCCCAGATGCCTGCCAACTGGGCTACGAAGCAGGTCCTTGCCTGGGGATGTTCAGGGCGTATTTCTATAACGGCTCCTCCATGGCCTGTGAGCCTTTCCTGTATGGCGGCTGCCTAGGCAACAACAACAAGTTTGCCTCGGAGAAGGAGTGTCTGCAGACCTGCAGAACCGTGGGTGAGTCCGGGCCCTTTGCCACTGTGTGCGCTGCAGCTGGCAACGCCATCCTCCCGACGGACCACCTGACAACTGAACCGGTGGCTAAGCGAGGATGTTCCCGGGGTGGAAATCCAGGGCGAGTTTCCGGAAGTCGTAGGAAGTGCCCTTTGCATATGGGTGACCGTAGGCAAGTGATTTCTTCTCATAGGCGCCAGCTCCCCAGTCTAGAAGGGACGAGGTGGTCTAGGTGAGCAAGGTCCCCGGGTTCAGGTCCTGTGCCTCGGGTTAGCCAAGCGGAAGGATTACTAATGCTGTGCCTCCCTCCCCTCCACAGCGGCCTGCAACCTCCCCATAGTCCCCGGCCCCTGCCGAGCCTTCATCGAACTCTGGGCGTTCGATGCCGTGCAGGGGAAGTGCATCCGATTTCAATATGGGGGCTGCCAAGGCAACGGCAACAAGTTCTACTCCGAGAAGGAGTGCAAGGAGTACTGCGGCGTCCCTGGCGACGGTAGGAGGCCCTGTGGGGTGCCAGGCTGGGCCCAGGGGCTGATGGGGTCCAGGTGGGAGAGCCCTGTAGGTGAGGGCCTGGAGAGCTGAGCTCTGGACTCTGTACCAGGTGACCAGCCCACCCACTCCCAGGGCCTCAGCTTCCTGTCTTTCATGTGGGGCCAAGCCCCAGGCCTCAGCCCAGCTGGGATGCGGTACCTGGGGTACCGGGTAGAGGCAGAGGGTGGGCAGGGCAGTCTGAGGAGCCTGGCAGAGCTGGGCTGATCCTGGTGCTGCCACATTCGGGCCGGCCACACTGGGCAGGTGCCAGTTTTAGCCTCAGTTTCCTCTTGTAAAATGGGACAAAGCTCTGATTTATTTCCCAGACTTCCCAGTGCCTGGCACGGGTAGTGCTCAGCGAACGGCGCCTGTTACTGATAGTGATGGTGATGCTATAAGGAGGACAGGGCAGGTCCACCTCGCTTTACTGCGCTTCACAGATATCACCACTCACTTTACTGGGGTAGTGGCTTTGCTACGCTGGTCTGGAACCCAACCCCAACCCGCAATATCTCCGAGGTACGCCTGTGGTAGCACTGCAGGAACAGCAGCCCCGTGAGGTTACTGTGCCTTATCTCCCTGCTGGGAAATGGCACCTAAAGTCAGTCAGAGGAGGCAGAAAATCAGACCATCCTGTGGAATGCACTGTGGGGACATCTAGTCATTCAGCAAGCGGGAGTTCCTGGCCTCAGGCCCCAGCTCGGCCCAAGCTGCCTCTACCCCTCCATGAGGCACCCCCTCCCAACTCCCCCTGCCCTGGACCCGCAGGCGAGCCCCATACCTACACCCTGAGCCTCTGTGTCCACAGGAGACGAGGAGCTGCTGCGCTTCAACAACTGACAGGTCCAAGGCCAGTGGTCCAAGCCAGAGGACGGCGGGGAGGCTGCGGGCCAGTGTCTGCCCCCGGGCCCCACATCGGGCAGGCCGGGCCGAGGGACCTGGGTTCAAATAAAAGCCAAATCATGGACTCCTGAGGTTCCATGTCCTGACTGTTGTCATCCTAGTGGAAGGAGACGGGGGCAGGAGGGGGCGACAAAGCCGGGCGGGCAGGAGCAGCCCAGCCGGCCCCAGGGGTGGGAAACGCGACAGAACCACCTTCCCTGCGTGAAACTGGCCATGCAGATTATGACACACAGAGCACAGTTCCCTGCTCGACAACAGTATCAAATAGGATTTTGCTTTCATAAAGCTAGAGGAGGGGGAACGCTCTGGGACTTGTTTCTGCAGGAGGTTTGACGGGTCACCAGCGACCCAGGGTCAGAATAAGGTGCCCTATGTGCCCAGGGGGGTCAGTGCCTGAAATAATTCCCGTTCTTCACCACATGGAACCCCCGCCAACGTTTTACTTTGGCCACAGCCACGTCCCCAGCACCAGCTGCCGGGAGCTGAAAAGGCCTGGGCTGTTTCCCCACCAGGCCCTCGAGTTCCCATCTCCTGGGAGCCCTTCCCCAGCCCTTTGTCCAGGAGAATGTTCACTGACCTTCGCGTTCTGTCCATGACGACCAGCAGGGCCCTGGGCCAGGACCCGCAGCCCTCGGTCCGGCTGGCTTCTCCGCCCTTCATAGGCCACCCACGTGACTCAGGCACCAACTTGGCCCAAGAGCACGACTCTAGGAGCCTCCAGATTAGACCCACTGAACATACAAGCATCCGGGTTATGAATCTCTCTTGCGAGCTCCCTCCACCCAGAGCCCAGGGGAGGT